CTAAACCATTGTCGTACCATAGAGGCGGGCGCCTCGCTCAGTGCCATAGCCTTACAGACCCATGCGGAGATGCAGCACGTGCGACTCGAGTGCCTTAACTACTTACCAGCCCTTTGGTGTCGTCTTGGGTGTTGTGTTTTCCCGAAATGACTTCTTAAAAAACAAAACAAATATTTTAATGAATTATTTGGAGAGGACCTTTTCATTTAAGCATTAACTTTACCTTCTGTTCTGGTGTGTGTTAACTTGTTTTTGCAATTCTGTGATAGTAACATTTGTTCTGTGAGTTGGAAACAGAAGGGAAAAAAAAAACAAACATGCCCTTGGATACCCACGGCCAATAACTGGAAGAAAGTGATGTGAATTTCATGTAAATTCCCAGCGGAAATGTGGATAAGATGCTCATTTCTCAACTAGACTTTTTTTTTTTTTTTTTTTTTTTTTTCTGTAATTTGGTCCTCGATATATTGCAGGATGGGGTTGATGAAGGTTTCCAGTTTGGTTCAAGCCAAAACCAGGAAAGATTCTAGCTTCGACCTCGTACATGTTTCCACTCTCTCAGCGTTAGATATGCCATTACTGTTCAAGTTTCAAGACAGAGAAGAGTCCCCCTGGCAACTGAACTGATGGAAAACATGCATAGGTGTCATGTATCTGATTTCCCCCCCCCTTTCGGTATATGTATTAATAATATTATTATTATTATTATTATTATTTGTAGTTCATCAGTTTGCTGGTCTCTGCAGTCAGCAGAAACAAATGGGCAATATTTGTCCTGGGAGACCTGGGCCGCCCCCAGGTCCCCGCGTGAGCGTCTGCCCGCAGCTGTCCTTGGCTCTCCGGGCGGTGGCTCTTCTACTGTACTTAGACAAGCCTTTCTTCCGTGACTGCAGAACCCAGCAGGGGCCGTGTGGTCCTCCCGCCTGCCCGCGGGGCCGAGGGGCAGCCGGGGAGGGGAGAGGAGGCGAGGTGCGTGCCTGGGCTTCCGGGAAAGCCAGGCAGCAGGAGCTGTCCCTCGCGGTCTTCCTGCCAAGCCCAGCCCAGGCCTCACCTGCCTGTGCTCCTGTCCTTTGCGGAGCGATGAAATACTACTACTGGTAATAAAACTGCACATGCGAGATTGAAGAGGAAAAATAGGTGTATGTTTACCTTCCTGTGATTTGGGGTTGGTGCTCGAAGATAAACATGTTGTGTCTAGTTTCTGAATCACCTGAACCCCTGGGTGCACAGAGGCGGGATTTTCTTGCGTGAGCATCGTTTGCAGGCAATAGACCCCCTTACTGTAGCTGCCAGCAGTGAAAGGAAACAGATCCTACTGTAGTTGGGCTGTGCTCAGCATCCTGTCCTCCCGCCAGACGCCCGGGACGCCCCAGCCTCAGTGCCTCAGGCCTCCCGTGCCACCCCTCCCGGGACCCTCGCCCCTTCTGGCCCCCAGGGCTCCTCTGTCCTTACACCTGCGTCCACCACAAGGACCCCCTTCCTCCCACTTCCTCACCAACTCCTGGTAGCCAAAAGCCAACCACCTGGGCTTCAAAGGAAGCTATGTGTGTTCTTGACATGATGAAAAAGTGATCTCTTTGCATGTGAAAGGAAAAAGGTTGAGGTATATATGACTTTTAACTGTATTAGGGATGTGTGAACCAGTTTCAGAAGATTTTCTTCACTCTACGTGAGCACGAATCAGAACCAATGATTCCCCCACCCAGTATCACTTCCTACCAAGCGTGGTGTGCTTAGTTAAGAGCAGTTCATTCATCCCTTAATTTCTTATGACGATTGTTGGTGTTATTTTTGTTGTTGCTATTACTTGGGGTTGCTTGTGTTTTGTTTTTCTTCGCAGCTCTCCACACTAAAACTCGGAACGTTGTGGGGAGCGGCCACGACTTAACTCTGCGCTGGGGCGAGATGGAGCGGGCACCAGGCCGCAGCCCAGCCGGGGCCGTCGCTCGCAGTGGTCGCCATCGACTGAAAGCTTTATTTAGCCTTGTCTGCACCCTCGTAGTCGATAAGGTCTTGCCACATTTTACTAGTGAGGCTGAGAGATGTATCATTTGTTTGATGTTCTGTCCCCTCCCCCAATATTAAACTGTGAAATTTGTGATTTGTTTAAACTCTGGGTGAATCATAGCTTAGTTTGCATGTCCAGCTAATTTGTTTCTATACATTTGTTTGATTCTCTTTCTCCTTCTCTCAGGGCTTTTACAAAAAAATATATATATATGGATCTTCTGAAAAGTTTTTTGAGGTGCAAGTTTCTCTCTTTTGTTTTTCTCTTTGATTTATGGACACGATGCTGAGATTCAATCACTACATGAAACTCCCGGCTGTGAAAACAACAAAAAACCCAAAGGGCTGTTTTTTCCACCAGCCCTGGGGAAGCTATGTGACAGTCGGATGCCGGTTTCAGGAAGTTTCACCGTTCTTTCCACCCTCTGTTCCTCTCTTTCCTCCAGAAGGAAGTTGATCCTAGTGATTTCAGCCCATGCATTAAACAGGAAACAATAATAAATGTGTAGAATTCATATTTTTCTAAAGGGAACTTAAAAACTGCTGCTACATGTTATGTACAAAACTGGTTTATGCCACATGAACAGAATCACAAATTTGGTTTTGGTACTTTTCGCTCCTCTTTGTATTCAGTTGTACAGTACTCTTCCAAATTCAAAATGAGAAGAAAAGCTGTTCTGTATCAAACCACCTAAGCAATAAATGTTATATTTTAAAAACGGCAGGTTGCCGGTCACATGGCCCGTCCTCTGATTTGCTGTGATCCTGTCAGCTTGTCCCACCCCCAGGCCGCAGCCTGCTGGGGACGGGTCATTGGTGTCCATGGCCATTGGGGGAAACCTCAGGCCTGCTCGCCGCCAGCTTGGCACCCGTGGCACCCATGAGAGCCTTCGCCCAGGTGGCGTCTCTCAAAAGCTGCCTCGTGCCCTCATCTTGGCTCGCCCAGGGTGGTCTCTTCCGGGGCCGCGGCGGCGGCAGCAGCCCGGTCCTTGCTCACGACCACTGACGCCAGGGGCTGTGTTTCCGGCCAGCCGCTCCCGGGATCCGTTTTGTCTTTTCTCCTTCTCCAGCCTGGTTACACGGGATTGAGTTGTCCCCGGCTGGAGAACTGCTGCAACTCAGGAGTCCTGAGTTAGTCTGGACAGGGGAGTGGCCTGGAAAGGATGGTGACCCCAGGGCTGGGGGGCAGAGCAGGTCAGAACCCACGTTTGGGGGATCTGCCATCGTGAAGCAGCAAAAGGGCAACGTCCCGGATCCTCTAAGCTGGGGGTGGATCTCAGAGCAGCCCCGGAGGGACCTGGGCTCAGGGGAGCTGATCGCAGAAAATGCTTCCAGCGAGTTGCCCCTGTTACAGTTCTGAACGCCAGGGCCCAGCAGGACAGGAGTTGATTGCTCTGGCCCTTAAGGCCTCCGGGCCCCCCATACACACAGCAGCCCCAGGAGACGGACTGGCTTTGGTGAGGTCCAGTGAGGGGTCCTGACCGGTGTTAATAAAACAACCAAATAACTCAGGAATGGTTGTAACATAAACAAGCAGCTCACAGGAGACAAGCCCTCGTGGGCGCGGGGTTGCCGCTAGCCACCGAGGAGCCACACTTAACAGCCCCTCCCCTTCCCCGTGGATGGGCTTGTTCCTGGCAGGGAGCTGCGACTGTGCGTGGTCAGTGTGAAGGGCAAAGGGGCAGCCCCTGTGGAACAGGATGCCAAAGACGCAGGGTGCAGACCCCAGGGAAATGCCCCTCCGCCCACCGATGTCTGCGTGTGTTGGGTACAACCCCTGGGGGTCTGCGTGATGCTGGAAGGATAGAGGAGGTGAAAGATGGAATTTATCAAAAGAGTAATAAACCTGTTACTTAGGAAGAGGAGATGAGGTTCACCTGCCCTGTCACCTCCCGCACTTGGAGTCGTGAGCCAACCGGGGCCCCCTCCCCCTGGGGAATGAGCTGCGGGCCCTTCCAGGCCACCTCACCCCCAGGCACCCACCCCTGCCCCAGGCTGAGTCTCCCGTGCTGCTGACCCCGGGCAGACGGGGAGGACTCTCAGGCTGGCTGGCATCCGCTCGCCCAGGCAGCTGTCCTGGAAGAGGGAGGCCGTGGGCACATGCAGACTGGGCGTTTCTGGCAGAGTTTATATTTTGGCTCTGATGGCGAGTTACATAAGGAGCCTTAGCATCAAGAATGATGGGCGGTGGCCGGGGGTGGGGGGCGCCTGTCTTCCTTTTTTGTTGTTTTTTAAGATTTTTTTTGATGTGGACCATTTTTAAAGTCTTTATTGAATTTGTTACAATATCACTTCTGTTTTAGGTTTTGGTTTTTTTGGCCACGAGGCATGTGGGATCTTAGCTCCCCGACCAGGGATCGAACCCGCACCCCCTGCAGTGGAAGGCAACGTCTTAACCGCTGGACCGCCAGGGAAGTCCCAAGAGTCATGCGTTTATCAGGTAAACACGTGGGCTTGGGTTTTCTCTTCTGTTGTCTCTTCAAAGAATCCCAGTCAAGCACAGGTGACCCCAGAGAACCAAGGGCCGCATCTCCCCCAAGGCCCTGCCTCACCTACGGCTTGCTCCCGCTAGAAACCCCCTTCACGATTTACCATCCCTATTAGAAGATGGGGAAATGAAAGGAGTTTATGTTTAAACATCAGTTTTACTTTTGTAGCTGTCAAAACATGGATAAGGCCTTGAACTGGATGGAGCTTTGGGGGTGTTTTGCTTGTTTTTTCCCAGGATCCAGTTACCCCGACAGTGCCTTTATTCAACAAGGTGTAGCCTGGGCCACTGCTGTGCACCTGGCACTGTCC